AAATACAGCTAAAATCTATTCTATTACTTTGCAACACATCTACTATTTGTTGAGCGATATCAGATTAGTGATTTTGGTATAGCTAGTATATATTCTCACTACTTGCTTTGTTGTATGATTATCTTAATTCATAAGCAATAGATGATCCTGTTATCTTAGAACAATCTGTTGTAGGATTTGTAATAGTAATGCAAGCAGTATTATTACAGTAGAGCCAGAAATTATTTTAGATTGATATTCATTTATCATGTAACTCACTTAATACACTTCCTAACAATAACTAAGTATAAATGACATTTTCCAGTTGATGATTTTGTGCATCGAGATCAATTCCAGGATATTTTTCTCATTAATTTTTATACTCTTAGTATGCAGGACCACCTCCAATTGAAGCATATCCATTAAAGTGAGCTTAAGATCCTGTTAATATTGTTGAGTAATTTGCCTTGGCAGTTATAGCGATTCAAGAACCACCATTATATAGGCATTTATTACTTATCGTAGTAATTGTACAAGAATTTATTTTAGAATAACTTGTACAACTTTACTGATTATTTAGCATCCAGTTCCATCACTTACGGAAGTACAAAGAGAATTATAGGCTTGACATTTAGAATGATCTAAGCCTGTTAATCCAGTTTAAAGTGCATAATCAGATGCTTAAGCCACTGATTAACAAGTAGGAGGAACAGCACTATTCCTTACACACAATCCATCAGTAAATCTGAAACAACTTGCTGATTGCTCTCCATTAACAAGTAGATTAACTAACAATACATTCAGTAATCTTTTTTTTTTACTGCTCATATTGTAACCAATGCTTAGCAATCTGTGAATGTTGAACCTACTGCATTTTTTTTGGAGCAATCCTCAGTACAAGCTGATTAGCCATATACACTACCTGTTTTGTGCATCCAATTCTATATGTTCCAGCAAGCACCTGCTGCAAAGGTTGACAAAGAATAGCATTTCTCCATACTCCATTTGCAATCATCAACTCCTGCATAGTTAGAGATGGTCTTGATAACATTGGATTTATGTTATATAATCCTTACAATTAGTTTTGTTTTGAGAACAAATCCTAATCCTCCGATTTTGTATACTACAGTGCAAGTATCATCTGAAACTGGATGACTCTAGCATTCCTAATCTGAATTGTATGTATTATGGAAATGAGCACAAATTGTATTTCTAAGAGCAGTGGCAATCCATATGCATTTCTTAATTTAAGATGTAATCACACAGTTGTCTTAAATGCTATATGAGGAACATGAATTTTACCAAGTTTAGCAATTCATTTAGCCATTGTTTACTGCGCATTGATCAAGAAGATATTAACACTTATTATGAGTAATCTTTATGAAATTTGTACAAGTTTTATCAACATAATTTAATCCATCCCAATTACAATCACCACCACTTACTTTAGATCCAATTGTACAATTAATTTGGGCTAATTTATTACAATTAGAAATTTATTCATGCATTCTTTGGAGGCATTATTAGAAATGCATGGATTCTAAGTCTTTTTACAATTACCTTATGTATCCATTTGTTTGTACACACAGTTAAATGACTTGAATAACAGAGAATTATCCTGAAGAAATTGAGCCTGCTGTTTCAGCATTTTTGGCTGATGCATAACATTGTTAATACAATATGATGCAGATAGCCCATAAGCAAGTTAGTGATCCTATTCATTAGACTTGGCAATTTTCAGATGCTTTTTGGCTGAACAATATATTGGCAAATCTTGGCTTCTTTTAATAGTATAGGATCAATTAACAATAACGAAATTATTAGCAACACAAGTTGAGATCTAGGATTGGCATAATAAAGTTGTTTAAAGAGATTTTGAAGCAGTCGAACAAGCTTCATTAATTCATAAAGATCCATTCGGTCAACAAAGTTATCCATTCATTTTAATCTGACAAGCTGCTTCTATTGTAATGGTTTCACATTTTAAAGGAAGTACAACATATCCTGACCCTGGGTTGGTTAGAGTACAAATGGAGAGGTAGTTTTAACAATCTGTGCGAGCGGTAATGGATGAGGAAGTTAAGACACAAACTTTGCCTTTCCATATACAGGGTTGATTATTGAGAAATTTATCACAAATAGTAACTTGCAATAAATTTTCACATGTTTCTTCAACTCATCCTGAACCTCTAGAATTGACAATAAAAGTATTCATAAAATGTAAACACAGTTCATGAGCGTTATTATACTTAATCATTTGAATTATATTAGTATGATATATTATTTGTAGTTGATGGTGCATTCAAACATGTCTTATCTTTTCCACTTATGCTTGTTGACTCCCAAAAGCAAATCAAACCAGACACATTCTTAACGCAACCGTTCATAAGTAGTATTTATAATGCATCCACCCAGTGAGTATTTCAACTACTTCACCACCATAGAAAAACTTGTGTGCAATAGCTGGAACCTAATATTGGGATACATAATAGAAAAATGTGTCAATTGTATATTATTAGGCGCTCATTATAAGTCATGTACTTCTAATGCTTGTACCACTTGTGGCGCTAACAACTATGCTATCGATGGATTATGTAAAACATAAACAAGATACCCACAAACATGTTCTACTTTGATGCTAATAGCAACTGTACAATTCGCTCTTTAGTAATACCAATATCCGTCTTACAAAGTGGTGCATGTAAATCATGTACTACTAATTGCTAATTTTTATCAAACTGCTCATACAACACATAAAACAATACTACAGTGTGTTCTTCATTTCAAGATCCTTACTATGTTAATGCATCAAGACAATGTTCTAAGTGCGATTCAGCAGGAGAATGCTATGGTTTGAAATGTCAGCTGTCACAGTTAAGATAGTCTAGTCTACACCTAATGCAAACCCCCTTATTTCTTAGCAAAAAACAAATGTACTTAAGCTTAAACTAGTAAAACTTGTTCCAAATTTCAAATACCTCATCATACACTCTGTGTGTTTATTAATATTAGGCTGATTCATATCAAAAATTTCAATCCTTTATTTTAATTGCACTTCATCCAGAAGGCCTGCAATTGGAGATTGCACAAATTGATAAGTTTTTTGGCCTATTTTTATGGATTTACCTAATTTACTACTCCAAGTAACGTTTGCACAGCATTTATCAGCAGATACTATTTTTAAATTGAGGATTATTTAGGACAAACGAAAATTTTTTTTGTGGCTTCTTAATTTTAATTTGCTACATGCACCAACTCTCCAAGTTCATGCCCATCCTTGAATTGATGGTGCAGTAAAACTGAATTCTGCAGCAACAAAAAAAATATTCAAACCTACACTTCAAATGGCTGTAGCATTTGCAATTAGGATTCCCTTTGATATCCAATCGTTACTTTTAATCAGTTCAGCCGTATGCATGAGTATTTAGATATCTTATCTTTAGTTTGCTTATAAGCAATTAAGCGATGTGTATTGTGAGCTTTTGTTTTTTTAAAATCGATATGCATACAATATTAATTATTTGAAAAGAAGTCTATGTTATTCACTGATTTTTAACTCCCTAGATTTAATTGTCATTGAGTGTAACTGATCTCTCCTCATCTTTCTACGTCTATACGACAACTGTAGTTTGCACAAATTTCATGTATAGTTCCATTCATATGTTATTCTCTTTGGTTGATTATTCTTCTTTAAAGCATCTCCATGGAGCATTTTTAATCATTCAATTATCTCAAACTTATTATAGTCATTAAGTAATCTGCTTGGACTTCAGTCTTTTATGAAATCCTCAGAAGATTATTATCTTAGCATAGGATAACTAAATTTGAGCATGTTCAACAGGAGGAAACCGTTCTTTTTTACTCTTTAATGGACTTAGATTTTTCTTTAAACTCTCAAATTGTTTAATTTAGAATGGACTTAGAAATATTAAAGTAGGCAATTACAATCCACTTGATTATTTGTTTTAGCCTACTATAAGCAAGTAAAATTTCTGCAATCATCATTAAAGTAGTCATTAATTTTATTTATTGCATTACCTTCACTTGTTTTTAGGGATTTCAACTTAACCTGTACTGACTGGTGTAGGGGTATAAAAAGTGAAAAAATGTGTGACTTCATGTTGTTCTTTTCATGTACAATTGACATTAACAAGTACTACTAACTTACCAGGGTCGAAGATGCATCATCATATACATTAATTAACAGCAGAATGCTTCTTAGACTAATTGGTATCTCGATATTTCAAGTTCTTGAGGAGAACAGTTTAAAAAACACACTGGTATCTCAATTTTTAATTGAAATTTTATTAGGGAAATAAATCAATCAGTATTTTATCGATCCAGTTTGACGCAGCCATCAAAAATAAACGAAGACCCTGTGCATTAGGTAAAAAGGGGTGCACAAAAGAAATGCTTTGTTTATTTCTGCATTTAATGCCAGATAGTCATCTCAAGCTATGTGTAAACTAAAAGCAAACGATAGGTTGAGTTATATTTATCAGTCGAAGATTGATCGAGAGCAAAGACAAGTGGCTGTGTGATTACATTAAGAAATTGGTTTAGCTCTTCCATCCAAACATTTTTCGTGTTGATCATAAGCATCGCATAGTTAGTACCATAAAAAGAATTATGAACTACCTCGATATGCTTCAAGATATGATAGCATTATGAAAGGGTGTTTGCCTTTTAATATGATTTATGCAACTTTGAAAGAAGGAATTTAGTCATATTTTACTTTATTTAAATGGGTGTTATGAGGTGTTTTATACATGAATTCCAGCAAAAAATACTTGTTGATGATGAATTTCCATTTTTGAATTAAATTTTTAACTTTTACTTTTAATTTGATTAATCATAACTTCTTTCCTCTGTTCTGTCTAATGTATATGTTAAAGATGCTTTGATTTACTATTCATATTCATTTTAAGTAATTTTGAGTTTCCAAAATGTGTGAAAAATTAGCTAGGGAGAATTCTGTAACTGTTAATACTTTATGAAGTTAATTGAAACATTATTAATAAGGATAAATAAAAGGATGAGAAATTTATTACTTTTTAAATAAATTAAGCAGAGAAAAATGACCCTAAAAACATAAAGATGTATTAGATTGGATTGAAAACGTTTAGAAAAAAAACTCAAGACCGTTTAGAGAGTGCTTTTGCTAACAAATAGCAACTTGATTCCAATTTGACGCAGAAATGATTATAAAAATTATGAGTTCATAAGATTAACTTCTTAAGTGCTTTAATATTGTTGGTGATTATTCCACACACATACAGAACTATTTTAGTAAATTTCATAAGAAGATCCAGTGTAACATAAATTTTGGACTGCAATTGCTTAATTTAAACAAGGCATAAATATGATATATTCTACTTACTTCCATAACCTATACATGCAGTCCTTGTTTTATAAGTTAGATTATTAGATTTTTAATTGTCATCATTATACTTACAAAATTCATAAACCGACATCAAAATATATGAGAAGGAGTTTAAAATATGTAACATATATGGATGGAATCAATTTGCAAGAGCTTTCAAATTATAACATAAAAGATCTCCAATTATTACAGTAAACAAAATTGTTGCTTTTCAATCACATTTATT